TCTGATACATATATCATCATATCGGTTGTGTCAAAATGCATTACAGAAAGGCATCCACTGACTATCCTTCCTCAGTGGGGTGAGCTCCCGATCGAGCTGACCTACTAAGCCACGCTTCAGGACAAGAGTTCACTTTGCATGTACTTAGAGGTACAACCCTTTCATAGCTCGTAAGGGTGTAGCAAGTTATAGAAACCCTGCGGTGTCGTACCCCTGGAATGCAGTGTTTGGCAAGGATGCTACAATTCCTTTAAGAATCAGTACTGAACCCACTGGTAGCAAAATCTCCACGGATCCTCTGAACTCACCGGGGCTAATGACATCTGTTTTTTTCCCAAATAGAATATTGCTCTTACTCATGAACTAGACTGTGCAAAAAGGTCTCACAAAATCATGATGGTCTATATGTTAGGGAATGCAATCGCGTTCATCGTAGATATTGATTATGCAGCTGTTAGGAATGCAATCGGCTGAAAATATGCTCCACCAAACCATCCTCTTGATCATCTACTTTATCATAGGAGGTAACTGATCCACCTCATCATGTCTTAAAATCCCTGAGGGATTTCTTTGTATATCCTTAGTAAAGTTATAAGAGCAACCACATTGTATGGTGATTCTGCCTTTCCACGTATCCCTTTTCGTGGTTCAGAATAAGTTCTTTCCATCAGAAGACTAGCTAAACCCCTATCTCTTAGGTTGAATATATAGTCGAGAATGCTTCTTTTGTTGCTTTCAGAGAAGACTCTGGTGTACAACTCCAAACCTTCTAGTATATTGACGAATCTTCCTTAAACTTCCTCATAAAATTCAAATCCCTTTTTCTTTACTTTACTCATTTTGTAGTATTCTGCCATGGTGACGATTTACGGCTGTTGAGGACGCTCCCTCATTTCAATATCAACAAGAATCCATGCTGGTGTTGTCTCTGTATCCAGCGGAATATATGATTCCCCCATTAAGTGATCGGTGATCTGAAATCCATCATTGGTGAATGTGTACTCCGCCAAAGTACTATAAAGCTCTAGGTGGAGGACAATACAGTCCAGGCATTCCACAAACACCCCTGTAGCTAGTATCCATGTGGGAATCTCAACATTGCATGTTGGGCAACCTGCACAAAGATCATCTGCAACTTCTGGTATCGTCGGCTCTGCAGTGAACACGAACTCATCTTTTATGGCAGGTGATACACCTAAAATATATAGTATTTTTAAATGCATTTTTATACTTATTTTGAAGATGTTGCGCTTTAATGGAAGGTATTTGTGTGTTTTTCTTTCAGGTACTAGTAAAAAGGTAACAAAATCTAAAAGGAGTGAAAATGGATCAAATTTGGAGCAAAGAGGTGAAAATTTTGCGAACGTGTTTTGGTGCCTAAATGCTAGATCCGGTGCTTAAGCGTTGTTTAAACAGGGAAGGTCGCGCCTAAGCGCCAGAAGCCCCACGCTTAAGTGCCAGAGGCAGTTATTTGACATTTTTCTTCATTTGGCCAAATTTTGAAGAGGTATTTGAGGCACCTTAAGTGGGTGGTTATGACCACTAAGAAGGAAAATGTTATTAAAAGACTTGTGAAAGGAGGCATCCGTACATCGAATTTAGATAAATTTTGAGGAGTTAGCAAGGCATCTCTTGGATATTTATAAAAGAAATAAGTTTTTACATTTGAAGTGGGTGCTTGAAGAGGGAGAGGGTTCTTAAAGAGGGAGAGAGTGTTGGAGTCCTGAGAAGAAGATCGTGGAGAATTTGTGGAGAGATTCAAGAACCACACAAAAATTACTTTTTCATTTTGTTTTTAGTTTTTTTTAGAGTTGAGAGTGTTGTAAAAGAGAAGAGATTCAAAGGAACTTCAAGAGTTTGGTGAAGAATTTGAGAAAAGTTTTTCTCTTTTATTTAAAACTATTTTTAGTTTTAATTGAGACTTCTTGTTGGTTTGATAATGATTTCTACATTTAAACTATAGTATGATTTTGTTTTCTCCATGTATTATGCGTAGTTTTCTTTATTGGAAACACCAAGCCCAAGAGCTCTTCCATGGTTTTAACCCAAAATTGGAACTCAATCTTGGTGAAGCTCTGCCAAATTGTTCCCAGACCTTCTATCAACCTTGAGAAGTTCATCCCCACCATTTTCCAACCCTCTTGTTCTCTGCTTAGCCTCAATTTTAAGCTTACAAATCAAGATAATTCACAGAAACACCACCAAGTCCACCAAAACTCCAAATTCAATGCTCCAAAAGTTACACAAGAGCTTAAGGAGAATTCCCCAATTAAAACCCCTCTCTCCTGAGCACCATAGCATAGTCCTAGAGCAAACCTGATCCAGCCTTCAATTGAAGTCATACTTAGGTCCAACACTTGAGCAAGAAAACACTTGGAGAAGGTTTGTAGACTCAAGGCAAAGCTCGTAAACCAATCAAATTGAGGCTACACCTCTTGGACAAAGGTATAGACCAAAATCCCCAAATTTATGCTTAGTTGGGAACTTTATGAAGAAAACATGTATTTCATATGCATTTAACCATATAGATAGGTTTGTCTGACCTAGATGAAGTTGTAGGCCCAACACCAGAGCAAGGCAACACTTGGAGGACGTTTGTGGACTCAAGTTGAAGCTCAGGAATCAATCTAATTGAGGTTACACCTCTTGGACAAAGGTATGGACCAAAATCCCCAAATTTGTGCTCAGTTTAGAACTTTATGAAGAAAACTTGTATTTCATATGTATGTAACCATATAGAAAGATTCGTCTCACCTAGAAGAAGTTGTAGGAACAAACCTCACATAATTTGGTTGAGTATCAAGTGAGATCTTAAGGTTAGAAAATGAGCGGTTCTCGAGTTAGGTCAGTTGAGGACGATGAACAAATGTTGTCAATTCGGGCGTGTAATGATCGGACGACAGAGAAGGAGTCGGACGAAGGAATGGAGCATGAACACGGACCTGAGTCAGCAACTATGTGGATGGCGATGCCGAATCACAGAGAGCAACGTAGAAAGGGCCTTTGTATAATCAAAGAGAACCGCGTGGAAAGAGAGGCTTAGTTTATTTTGTATAATGAAACAAAATTCATCATGTTTTCCCCAAATCTGGTTTATTTGCATCTTTTTTTTTGTTGCATATTAGGCATATTCCTGCTCTAAAATGAATAAAAAAAATATTTCATTTTATTTATTTATGCCTTCCTTTTTCTCCTTATAGATCATCATAAAATGATGTGTTAGAGACGAGTCAAAATCACATCAATAAAGATTTTCAATTACAAAGTCAACTATATACAAGACAATTGCGGTTCTCGAGTTAGATCAGTTGAGGACGATGAACAATTGTTGCGTGTAATGATCGGACGGCAGAGAAGGAGTCAGACGAAGGAATGTAGCATGAACGCGGACCTGAGTCAGCAGCTACGTGGATGGCGAGGTTGAATCATAGAAAGCAGCGTAGAAAGGGCCTTTGTATAATCAAAGAGAACCGCATGGAAAAAGTGGCTTAGTTTATTTTGTATAATGAAACACAATTCATCATGCTTTCTCCAAATCTTGTTTATTTGCTTCTTTTTTTTGTTGCATATTAGGCATATTCCAACTCTAAAATGAATTAAAAAATATTTCATTTTATTTATTTATGCCTTCCTTTTTTTCCTTATAGATCATCATAAAATGATGTGTTAGAGGCAAGTCAAAATCACATCAATAAAAATTTTCAATTACAAAGTCAACTATATACAAGACAATTTCTTAATTAGATTGAAATAACTTTTGCCACATGCAAAAAAAATTACTGCCCATGTTGAACTTGAATGCTCAAGAATGTGTTGTAGTCCTTAAAAACTAATCTATGGATAATTTAAATGAACATTTTTATATCATTAATATTTTCATAACTATTACAACTCTTCAATACTTAAATATTTCTTAGTAAAATAATAAATATTTTGATTTAATATTTAAATAAATTGAAACTTTACTAAGTTTATTTTTTATTTTTAAGTTTTAGATCACATCCTTTAGCATGGAATCATGTTTTATTTGTATTTAGTTATTTTTCTCATTTTATTTGTGTCACTAAAAATTCTCAAAATCGATAACTAGTTGAGGATAAGCCAAAATCAATCTCAACATTAAAAAAGAAAAAAAAACTATTTTAGTATTTTAATTTATAATAAACAATTTTAAATAGAAGATCGTTTTATTAAATATTTCATTCAAATAAGTCAACAAAGTAGAGCAAATTTATAATCACGTAATTTATAGTTTTGGCTCATTCTAAGCATTAGTTTCTCACAAAAGGGAGTTTACCAGCCAATCACTTGCCACATTCCGTTTTTGGTGCTTCATGTACAACCCTCATAACAATGCAAAATAAGGAAGGAAGAGAAAGGAAAGAAGATGGAATAGGGATTATGCATTGACTTTTTTAATATTGTATGAATTATTCAAAATGATAAATTGGTGCCCCCCTTCCATTGATTCGGTTGAAAATGAGTCACTTTTTATATTTAACATTCAAAGAGCAATTCATTTAATAATTATGAAAAATTTAACACGTTAAATATTTTGTAATGTAACATCAAAAAATTTTTAATTTTCCTTTCAAATATAAATATAGCAATCAGCTTATACTTGGTCCTGCTTCTCCTTGTCGTCGACCCATGATTACTAAACACTCTAAGAAAATAATTTAATTACTTGTTTAAATTGTCTTATACAGATTATTAAAATATGACTAATGAGATTTGCAATGTGACGTTATTAACTTATATACATTTTAATCATTATTGCGAATATCATGAAAAAACTGTCTTCCCGAACTCTTCTTCATACGTCAAGCAGCTCAGCATCAGTTGTCGCTCTCTCCAACCTTAAAAACAAAATCCATCCTATTTAAATATGCCTTCCTTTCTCTTCATCTTCAGCTCTTAAAACCTTCTCGCACTTTCTACCAATAGCATCACTCTTCTCTCTCATTTGATTTATTTCAGTTCTTGTAATATATAGAGTCATGGTTTCTGCGGATCTAATTCGAACTGTCGTTGGAATCGCAGGCAACGTTATCGCATTAGGCCTCTTCTTATCCCCATTGTAAGTCATGGCATCCTCTAATTTTGAGAATTTTGAACTTGTTCATCTTAACCAGAAAAAATAATTTAAATTTTCCGAGTAAACATCAAATGAAATACTACTCTGTTTTATGCATTGTCTTTTGTAATTTAAATTAATTACAGAAATTATATATTTAATGTAATCTCTGTTTTGCTGTTTAGGCCAATATTTATCAGGATATGTAAGAAGAAATCTGTAGAAGAATTCTCAGTTATACCATATGCAGCCACACTTCTAAATTGCATGCTATGGATGGTCTTTGGTTTACCCATTGTGCACCCAAATAGCACCCTTGTTCTTACCATCAATAGTGTTGGAACCTTAATTGAACTTTGTTATGTCATCCTTTACCTTGTATTCTCTACTGGGCCAAAGCGGACTAAGGCATTATTGCTCTTCCTTGGAGACATGACCTTTGTTGCCATTGTAGTTGTTGTGGTTCTTACATGCTTCCACACGCATGACCGCCGCTCCCTCATCGTTGGTATTCTCTGTGTCATATTTTGCATCATGATGTATCTCGCACCACTCTCTGTTATGGTATGTGAAACAATTCTCGTATATATATACGTGATGTTTGTATCTGCGTGCACAAGTCTTTGATGTGTGTTTTTATATGTTATGGTGCAGAAAATGGTGATACAAACAAAGAGCGTGGAATATATGCCGCTCTCCATATCAGTTGCCTCATTTTTTAATGGGCTCTGTTGGACGATTTACGCCCTCATCCGCTTTGATATTTATATTACAGTAATTAAGCTTCCCTCCTTTATTTCTTAATTAGATAAAGAATATTGCATACCTAGCTGTATTCAAATTATGATGATAAACTTTTTCTATGTTATAAGATGAGCCATGCTTTATCAAATCACAAGTTCAAACACATTTTCATGACTTGCCTGCATATTCTTGTAATCGAGCGCGCATACACAAAAATGAATTTATGTTAAAATGTTTGTTTAAATAAAATTAATAATTTTTGTAATAAAAAAAAGTTAATTTTAATCATAAATCTTAAACTGACATTTTTTTATTAATATTTACAGAATTGTTAATAAATTCTGTAAATATTAATAAAAATTTTAGGAATATAAATAAAAATTTTCATTGTAACAAAATATGCTCATTAAATAGTGATAAAAATTTTAGGAATGTATTATTTTGCAAAAAAGTGTGAATAGAAGCGATTTATAAATAATTAATATTTACAGAATTGTTAAAAATATAAATAAATAAGGGAATGCTGCAGATGTTTGATTGCATTTTATGGGAACCAAATGCCCCATAAAAATATTTAAATATTTATGGTCTATATCACAAATAATCTTGTTAAATTTCAAAGCCACAAATATTGAAAGAATTCATAACTTTGAAAATATTTCTTAATCATTTTTATATGTGTTTTGCAGATTCCAAATACCTTAGGTCTGCTATTTTCTATAACTCAGTTAGTGTTGCATGCTGTATATTACAAATCAACCCAAAAACAAATTACAGAGAAGAAGATGAAGGGGAAAGACGGCCTCACCGAAGTTGTTGTCAATGATAAGGAGATGCCCCTGCAAACAGATGCCTCTCTTAAAGTTGCAGCAATGGATTGTGAATGAACGTATGAAAAAAAAATATTATGTTACAATTTCATTTAATTATTTGGTGAACCAGGTTATCCCTTTATTTTATTTTATTTCATTTTACAGAAAGCAGTTTTTGTGCTGGAAAGGAGTGTTAAATGTTTCAAAAAAATCAATGCAAGATAAATTGCTTACAAATTGCAAATATATTTACAAAAAAATACTTTGCTCATCTAGCTCATTTTCATTTTTGGACATTTCACTGTCGACCATTATGAATTAATTCTCAATACAGTCTCATCAAACACTATGGAAAGCTGGGAATCATAAGAGTCTAATCAAGCCCATAAAAAGTTGAACAAAACCTCTTTTTGACAGGCTTTGGGGCAAACTTATTAAATAAAAAAATTCAGACAAACAAACTACACTCAAAATGTTGTTTTAATTTTATGTTTCCTACAACCCAGGATAATCAGCTTGTGTCAATGGCTCATGGGCAGTCTGGTTTAGTATAAGATACAAAGTTAGCAAGCCAATCAACTTTTCCTAAAGTAAAATGCGAGTATAATCCAAAATCAAATTTGATGGATCTGGATAAAGGTTAAAATGATTGGTTGTTCAAACGTTGGGCACATCAAGGCTTTCAAACTACACTCGAATTTGTTTTGGTTGATTTTATATATAAAGTATAATTAAAAAAAAAAAAAGACATTTATATGCATATCACATAGTTCAAAGAGATTTATATATAAAGTATAATTAAAAAAAAGAGACATTTATATGCATATCACATAGTTCAAAGAGATCCATTTAATAAATATTTGTATGAAAAAATCATAATATCCTTATAAACATTCCCCTAATACTTTTTTGTGTTGGTACTATTGTTCCAATTAAAGAGGTGGATGACTCAGCAATTTTCTTTACGAAAAGATTATTGCCATGGTGTTAAAGTATTGTAACTCAATTTCATAATTATAAATTTTTTGACAGTAATTGTTGATACCAACCATTTTTACTATGGCATCCAAAATAAAACCACTAAAACATATCTTTGAGCAATCTACCCGATACTATTCAAATTTTGCTTTCATGAACCATGTTATATTTGAAATAATAAAAAATAATATAGAAATATTCCGTATTTCAAGTTTTTTTATGAGTTTTAAATAAGAATGAAGTCTGTCAGTTATATGGGACACGAACCTGAAAAAAGTTATTTCATTGATAAAAAACTTGAATTAGTTCTCCAAATTTATCCAAAAGATCCAATGGATATCAAATAAAAATTATGCTTAATTAAGAACGTATAAAGTATACTAAAGAAATTATATACTTTAATTTAATGTGAACTCTAGTTTTCCTTATGTTCCAATGCATGTGACATGACTACATAGTAATTTTATTGTGAATAAGCTATCTATTTTGCAATCTCATTAAATCTACATAATTGATTTATAGATTCCTTTAGGAACTTGACTGATTCTTTAATGTTATTTATTTTGTTTTTCTTATAGATTTTTATGCATCATCATTTTCTACAGGTGAGTAATACAACATACATGAAAATAATATCCCATGATGAGAAAACAAAACCGTAGAGTGTTTTAAAAATTCTAGTTGCAACGTCATTTGATAATTCATTGTGTGACATTTGTTTATAGATCCATGTTGACCTCATTTTTTTTGTGGTCTAGTTTTTCTTCCTTAGAACTTATGATCTATCCATTGGACTTCCCTATTGACCATCCTAGAGGATTAGTGATGAGGCCCGCCTCACTTAGGAATACTAGCCACCTCTTGACTCTTTTGTGTAGTCTCACAGCTCAAGTCCTCAACTATTGGCTGAGATGATTGTGACCAATATGTTGAAGCTCAAAATGAGTTTTTACTGGATTATCAGGCCTTGGGAAAACCCTGGGAGCCTTGGCCATTCACACCCCATACCTCACTCTACACCCCATTACCTCCACTCATATCACCATATACACATTCATATCTCTACATTCACTCCACACACACACACACACTACCATGCACCTTTCATTCACAAGCTCCATCTATTCACCCCATGCCTTACCAGAATCACCAAATTTCCTCCAATTTACCTAAAATTCACTAGAAAACCCAAAATTACCAAAAATTGAAAAAAAACTCAATATTGCCCCAATTTCTCAAATTTCCCAAATCACTTAATTTTCCACCTCAAATCCTCAAAATATTCCATTTGTACTAATTTTCTTAAAAATTTCCAAAATTACCAAGTTGATCAAATTTTCATCAGAATTATCAAATTGACCCACCTTCCACCAAAATTACCAAATTCAATTTAAATCCACCAAAATAAAAACTCAAATCCAACCACACCATGTTTTAAGTATTAATTCAAGATCACCAAAGCTCAAATCCGAATCCACCCAAATTCACTCTAAATGCAAAATTCACCAAGCCTAAGTCCTAAATTTCATCATGATGAATTCTAAATTCCACCAAGCCCATCATGAAAAATTTTCATTCTATCAAACCCAATTCCAAAATCCAAATCTAAGTCCAAAACCAACTTACCTTAACCCATTCCTAAAGCCCACCAAAACCAAGCCCAAAATCCAATTCATTTAAAAAAAAATCCTCATGAAAAAGCTAGCCTTCCATTATCACATTAAAGCTCAATCAAGCCTAAGGTGTGATGTATCATGATTTGCGGAGAATTCGCGGCGGCAGCGACATTCCGATGACGGCAATGATCTCATTGAACTATAGGGTATGAACCAAAAGTACACTATAGAGAGATTCTAATAGATGGGGAAGTGATTTTTCTTGGGTTCAAAGTGGGGCTTAAGGAATTAAGGCCACTTTAACCAAACTTTTTTATGCACTCGGAAGAAGCTAAAGAAGATAATGTCACTATTTATTACTAACCATATTTCAAATTGCTTTTTCTCTTTATCTACCCTCCACTACCATCACAACGAGGGAATGTAGCTTTATCACCTGTTTATAAACAATGCAAGTAGGACAATTAATATTTTTATTGGAGTAAACTTTAATTGTATTTGCTTTGTAGTAGGGACTATTAACACAGCTTAATCTTCCTTAAATTCCAAATTAAGGATGAATTAAGTAGGCTAGAACATTTTCCTAAAATTTGTTTATCCCGTTTCTCTGTGGGATCAACATTTCGGACTCAAAAAAATTCGATTCTACTTTGACTGAGCGCTTGCGCAATCCGCCTGAGCCTTGAAGCATTTGTTAGGGGTTAAAATTCCCTCACATACTCCATGTTCTCCCTGATAAATTTCTTATGCGTGGTGTGCTCATCTTCTTATTGATGACCTGATTCCACACTCAACCTAATTCCTACGATGTTAAATCCATGTAGATCACAACTAAGAAATAGAGCATTAGACGGACAAATGAAATAAGAGAGAGAGAGAGAGAGGGAGAGAGAGAATGAAAAGGAAAGTGCACAATAACACCACAGTTTTGATGGAGTAAATTCAATTGTCCAATGTTGTAGGAATGACCTCTATGTATAGGTTCTAGGGGGTATCTACTGAAATTACATATTTTTCCCTATTTTAATAGGGACGTTACAAGTTATTTGTACTCCCTTTCATGTTTGTAAATGACTATGGCATTCTTTCATATTCCTTACTTACATAAGCATCATTTCGTATTCATAACTGTTTCAAAAGGTCACTAACGACTCGGTACTCTTGTCATTCGTTCAACTAATAGCTATTGGTCACCCACCATACATTTGGTCTTTTATAAGGTCTTCGATCAGTCCTTGCGTGGGCATCCTTAGTAGAGGCCCTTCTGACATTAAGGTGAACTTAAGCCATCTGACATATGATATATAATCGTAATATGATAGACAACTCTTCTTGGACAAGGGGCATTTCAGAGGATTTGAAAGGCATTCCGTGGTGTGCCTTTTCTCCATCTTTTGGAGGAGTTTTAGAATCGTTTAATGGAGTTGATATTCAAAAATTGTCCCTTGGATTGGTTTGCTTCTATTCCTTCACTCAGCCTTGCCTTTCTTCGGTTGGCTCAAAGTTCCAACCGAAGAAACGATGTTTGGCATTTTCCGTCTTTTGATTATCCCGATAAACTATCATTTGGTGTTCATAAGTGAGACCCTTTGGACTTTCCCGAGATTCATGCGGTCAATATTTTAAGTATATATTTGTAGATTCTACAGTGAATAGTCATTTTGGCTAAATACATAGACTCGTCAATATACTATAACTAAATTTCTTATATATCATTTAATATTTTGGACATTTTTCAACATGAATGAATTCAGAATTAATTTGCTGCAAATTAGTTGATTGGCCTCCTTGGATTCTCATTTGGGACAACCAGTACTATATATATATATATCTAGTATTTTTGCTTCAAAATAGTCTTTAAAATTTTGCGAAGATTAAAGTTGGGATGATCCCTTGATCAATTCTAGAAATTTATATCCAAAATGTCCGGGCACTCTAAGATATAATATATAATTGGCTAATGAAGTTTGTGCTAGATGGTTTTCACGATGATGTATCAATTATAAATTCTTGATTGATGTCTCCTAGCAAATTTGATTAAAAATTTGAAATTCGTGATCAAGATCTCATGATCTAAATATAAAATGTTGCCAACACGCCTTTTTTTATTCCTTTTTATTTATGAATGATCAGTTATCTCGAGACATTAAAGTGGTTCCCTGACTATCAAGAACAAATATAAAATGTTGCCTACACGCCTTTTTTTATTCCCTTTTTATTTTTGAATGATCAGTTATGTCGAGACATTAAAGTGGTTCCCTGACTATCAAGAACACTGCTATGCTCGCAGCCTTTTCAATTTTGTAGGGCCGACGTGCACTTCTTTTTTTAATAAATAAATATTATTCATAAAATAATACATAAAAGTTACGAAGATACTTGTGTTATAAATAGTCCATAAGTTGTGCGTAACGGCGAAGGCATCGAGTGTGGCTAACTGCTTTATCCGCATATTTAACCCATTTGGACTATTACATCCTA